AGTTGCTCTAATATACAATTTCCTTTATTCTCCCTCTAGCCCCATAAGGATAACTGTCACCCTCACCAGCTGGTACTATCTAGATTAAAAATAGACATTAGCTGCACAATTGCAAATTTCTCCTGAGGATACCAGCAGCAAGAGATTTGACTACTATTCTTTATACAGACAGCATCTAGAAACACATGAAAAATGACATCCCTCTCATCTTCTAAAGCTCTTAACACCATTCACTCCTGCCTTGCCCTCAGTATCTACCTCCACCAACTCTTCAGAATAATCAGCTGCCTGATACCAATTAGTTTTGATAAACTAGGAAAGATATAGTCCCATTAAATTGCTGGCAACAGCTGTAAGGGTTTTGACTGCTCAAAGGCAAATTATTAACCTCTGGTTCACCAGAACTCTGAGTAGGAGTCATTTTCTTTTTCACACTTAGATATTATGAAAGAATGTCAAAGATCTGAAGGCACATATCATTGTGTTGCCTGTAAAAGAAAATGAAAAAGAAGCCCAGCTGGCACAATTTGCTTAGAAAGAACGAGAAATCATTATTATTACAAATCAACCTCCATCTAGTAAGCTATACCTTAAAAAAAATGAGACATTAAAATTATTTTGCATCCTCACTACACTAATAAAGGATAAACAGGATGCATGAGGAGATAATGTGGAGTGTCAAGAATCAGAGTTAAATTCCCACTTCTTCTGCTGTCTTCCAGAGTAGCCATAGGTAAATCATTCCTGTATTATTACATGGGGATAAGATTCTCTTTTTTCAATCATTTTGGACTCCACGTTATTTATTATTATTATTATTATTATTATTATTATTATTATTATTATTATTATTATTATTATTATTATTATTATTACTTGGCTTGGACAGTTATTGGGATATTTAACATATATTTCAGCTATAAGATGGAAACTCTGTAAGGAGAATGGTCTAGGAGCTTAGCAGCTTGCTACTCACCACTCCATCCTCTTACGAAGCAGGTAGGAATATCTCTTCCAGGACATACAAGGCATAGGGAGTCAAAGGCTTCTTTAGAGCTATAGCGTGTGTTTAGATCTATTATGATACCCCTATGAGAAAAGTCTAGGTGTAAGATGGGAGYAAGACAGTTCAGGTCACTCTCTTCCACTAGGAGAAATAACATAATTTTTTCTGTAAAACKTGAAATGTTCTATTAGACATAGAAGGGATATTATGTCATACTAAAAGTACTTAAAATGTCCTCTGCTGAGCCTATAAGTGTTATCATAATGCAATGAATTTCATAGAATCATAGAATTCTTAAGGTTGGAAGGGACCTTTAGAGATCATCTAGTCCAACCCCCCTTCACAGGCAGSGTCACCCAGAGCACGTGGCACAGGTTTGGGTCCAAGCGAGTTTTGCAGATCTCCAGAGAAGGAAACTCCACAACCTCTCTGGGCAGCCTGTTCCAGTGTTCTGTCACCCTCGCTGCCAAGAAATTTTTCCCTAACTTCCTGTGGAACTTTTGATGTTTCAGTTTGTGGCCATTTCCTCTAGTCCTATTGCTGTCCACCACTGAAAAGATGCCAGCCCCATCCTCCTCACTGCCTCCCTTGGCTCCAGAAAGATCAGGCTGAGAGGGGACCTGATCAGTGTCTTTAAATACTTACAGGTCCCCTCTCAGCCTGATCTTTCTGGAGATGAGGCTTTCTAACACATGATCACTGCAAGCCTTTTGTGAAACTTGATAAGAAAACTCATGATGTGGGATGGCAGAAAGCTTGTGTCCAAACTGCATGTTCAACAGTTATTTTCAGTAAAGCTGCTTTCAAGTCCAGTCTACAGATGACTCTACAGATGACTAAGTGCTAGTTTGGGGTCAACAGTGCATAGATATACTGGTATGCTGACAATATAATGGAATATATCTCCTGTCAGCATCTTAGAATGGTCAGTAATAAGGCTTGTAAATTCTATCTTGGAGTTATTTTTAATAATTACCCTGCATGTTCTATGTATCCTAACTGCACCTAAGGTCTAGTGAGGTCTATGTCAATCAGTATCCATATTTAAGGAAATTAAGTAGTCATCCCTTCAAAAACGAAGAAATAGGAGTGGAAGATATGTTTTCATGTCTTCTTGATAACTGGAAAACAAACAAACAAACACAGTTTTTAAAATACATACTCCCTTGCAATAATTTAATAAACCATGCTGTCATCTCAATAAAGAATCAGGATGGTTGCCGTGGTGACAAAGATTATCCTCGCTGCTGCTTGATTCTGTCATTTTTCTAAACATGGGTTCATAATATTTAGGATTTATTAACAATGTGTCACATTGATAGAGATAAATTACATGCTTTAAACTGGCCATGTAAGTCTTCTGTGATATTACAGCTGCTTTGTCAACTTAGTAATAAGATATGATGTGATTACTAGAAAATTAAAGCTATTTGTCATGAAGGATAAAACAGAGAGTATCAGAACTCTCAGAACAGAAAAAAAATCTCAATAATCTAAGGTGTTTCCTTTTTAAAAAAATATTTTGGACTTGGCTAGCAGTTACTATTTTCTGCTTCATACATTGATCAAGATCAGCATATATAGAAATAGATTTATTTCTGCCAGTAAAATTTAGTCTATAATGCATCAGAATTGATGAGGTCTAGGCTGCAATATTTTATAGTGGTTCAAACTTATGGAAGCTTGTAAAGAGATGTTAATGATAGGAAATTTTGCAATAGGTAAAGAGATATATATACTTGCACATATATTATGAAGATGTATTTCATTTTAACAGATGTTGAGGGAATGTTTTACATGTGTGGTATCTCAGATGTAGCCGCAATGAAGGAAGGAAGGAAGGAAGGAAGGAAGGAAGGAAGGAAGGAAGGAAGGAAGGAAGGAAGGAAGGAAGGAAGGAAGGAAATGTTTTATTTAAAAAAAAAAAAGTATTTATACTTTTTCAAGAAAAAAATGACCTCTTTTTACCTCTTTTATATATTGAGATACATAATAGATGGATCTCGTGGAGCTTAGACACATAGTTTAGGACAAGCAACCCTGTATGTGACCCTAGCTGAAGAATAATGAATTCTCACTTAGTAACCCATGCTCATATCTGTGTGTAGAATGTCCTCTTGATTTGCTTAAGGTAAGTCTCCAAATATATTGCCATTTAGAGGAAACGCCTCTCCCGTCTTTAAATGACAGGTTTTGGAAGCAGTTTAGATGGGCAGCATGGAGAACTGCACAGAAGTGCTCAGAGTGAGGAAGGCATCCTCTGCCTGTAGATTATCCTTGTCTAATGCTGAGGCACATGCATTATGTTGCTAAAAACAGTTTATGCATGCTTTTRAAGAGAACAAGTGAGAAACCAACCTCAAACCAACTTCAGTTGAAACACAATATATTAGTGTGGCTTGATTTCTTCTTCAAGACAAAACAATAAGCTGCATACCCAGGCTGCAAAGTACAAGATGGAAATGGAATAAAAAATTCTTTTGACTTACTGACATAGTATGATTAGCTTAATTATCATACCTTATCATACTGTGATAAATTGATAGTTAACAGTGACACTTATTTTTGCCTTTGTTGTGCTATATCTCTTTGAGAAAATAATGTCGTCTCTCACTGAAGACAAAATAGATCAAGGCTATAGTGTGAGTATAAGTCTTGTAAACCAGATAAAATCACTATTTTGAATGGTAAATACTACCTGATTAAAAATATATATATATATTTATTCTCAGTGATCTCTGCACAGATCAGTATTGGATCATAAAAATTCATTTTCTACTACATCTGTTTGGGTTACTGTTACACCCCTCAGATAAACGGCATATTTCTGTTACCTTCAATAGACATTWGAGTGGTTTCTTAAAGTTCAGAAGATGGAATATATGCAATATTTTCTCTGGTGAATTAATTTGGGGGTTAGAGTTYTTGTTATTTATATCCTGCAGACCAAATCTAACCTTAAGAAACAAAGATGCACCTCCTTTACAGTCTAGTGTGGTTTGCATATGCTTTTTTCAAAGATGAATTTGATCCAGTATTTTATTTCAGTCTCCTACTAGAGGAGATATATGTGTATTACCATTAGCCAGACACTCTGTGTATTCTTCTTGGATTTATTGGACACAAATAAACAACATAAAAGTCCTTTGTATGCAAAGCATTTGATTTACTTCTGTTTTTTTTTCTTTCACACATTTTATATTTTGTGTATTATTAGTCTTTTTAGCAAAATAAAGACAGTAGAAAAAATCAAATACAGAGGTGTATRGCAGTAATACAGCATCAGCATTTACAGGTGAAGAATTTTGTTCAGAAGTAGCTCARTGCTGTAGCAAGAGGTCAGAAAAATACTGTAGCACTTCCTCTGTAATAAGGCAGGTCTCAGCTATCACTTACCATTTATCAAAAGTCCTTTCATATGTAACACAATTAAAATGAATCATTCTCAGAGATTCTGATCCCTAACTCAGGAACTTTTATCTCTATAATTTGTATGCAACATTGAGTTTACCTTTTATGGTGTGGTAGAGTTACCAATTGGCTGTTAGAATGTTACAAAATTTAGAAAGTGTAGTAAGAAGAATATTTGCTCTTCCAAAAGTATTTTGCAAAACATAAAACCATAATCTGGTAATAGATTTAGATACAGAAAAAAACGTTTAATAAAGCATAGTTTTTGTGATTCATAACCACTATTTGTTACTATACAGCTGTTGCAGATCAGCAAAACTACTCTTGATTTAATGAGAAGTTGTGTGACAATTTAAAATAGAATAATTATTAAAGTTGCTTAATATCATGATTTTTATCCATATATGTTCTGAGTGACTGTGCACATGTATATATGCATATAATAAATCCTTATTGTATATGTCATTGAAATGTCATAGTTACAACATTTTTATCATATAATAATTTTATTAKAATGTATATTTTTTCTATGATAAAATTATTTTAATATTGATAAATGAACTCTATATTTTATTGTTTCCAGAAATTCATAAAGAGAAATTGGAAAGACATGAGAAACGAGCATCACTGAAAGGTAAATTTATTTTTATGTTTATGCAGATATGTGTGTATATATGTTGCATTTATGAACTACATATGTTACCGCTGTTACATTACAAAAGCATTCAAAGACACACAGATTGTTAGATGATCAAAAACAAAGTTTAAGCATTAACAAATTGAGACACTTTATATATGTGTGGCTATATTTTCAATGCACATTCTGAATAAGATTCTCCTGCCCAAACTTACCCAAGAGTCTAATAAACTTCCTCTGGTGTAAAATATGTGAAGTGTGTTGGGTAAGCAAGAAAGCAAATTTATGGGCCAGTGGGTGCACTCCAAGTTAGCAAGCCCTACTTAACAGTGAGCCAGGTGCATAGCAGAGATAAGGAGGGCTTCCAATTTAAGAACCAACTTGTTTCCAGAATGCATAGTCTTCTCTAACTGGCACTTTCCAAAAATCCACAGAGGAACTGGTTTGGACTGGTTTTCAGATGGTACGTAGACAGAAGTTTCCTGGTAGGTGCAGTTTCTGCCTAATAGAGTTTCTTCTGTAAAGGCCAGGCTGAATAAAATTTGATGAGCATCTCTCTGATGCACCAGTGCTATACTTGGTAATGGCAAAGAGGAAGGAGAAGAGAGGCATATTAAAATATATATATATATATAAAAAAACCATACACACTGGCTTACATATGTATATTTATTTTATATATATTCTCTGTAAGTGTTTATGGTATTTTACAGTCCTAATGCTAGCTTTCCAGTTCTGCACTAGTCAGGGTCACTTGGAGTTCCTGGAATTGTTGCCCAGCTACTTAGTAAATCAGATTGTAAGGAACGATTTTTTTAAACTATCATCTGGCTAGCTAGGCAATAGTAAACTCAGGAATCCCATTCAGGGATTTTTCAGACATTGTGTTCTAAAAACATAAATGAATTTGCAGTCTTGACCAAAGTGGCCTCTTGTGTACCATCTAACTCTGCACAGAAAAGCCTTGCTTTACATTAAAAAAAACATTAATGTTGTAGAGGTCATCACTAGGAAGTTGTAAGACGCCAGAGAAAAAGCATCCAGGTGTCATTACTGAAGCCCCTTTACGCACACACTTTAAAAATACGGTCTTTAATTACACAGTCACTTCATTAAGCACAAGAGAAATAGTTTTTCTATTCTTAGTTCTTATATTTTCTAGCTCTAGAGAGGCATCTTGGAGGAACAACTACAATAAAAAAGTTCTGTCCCGCCTCCAATAGAGTATGATATAGGTCTGAATCTTTAAGGAGTTTTATTGCTACCCTCTAACATATATCCAGTAAACATAGTCAGATACAGTCTTTTGTATTTTTTTAAATGGGAAAAAAAATAAAATGCATCTTTGTTACAGAATCACAGAATGCTTAAGGTTGGAAGGGACCTCTASAGATCACCTAGTTCAACCCCCTGCTCCAGCAGGGACAGCCAGAGCACGGGGCACAGGGTGGCATCGAAGCAGGTTTGGAAGGTCTCCAGAGAAGGAGACTCCACAACCTCCCTGGGCAGCCTGTTCCAGGGCTCTGTCACCCTCACAGGAAAGTTGTTCTTCCTCACATGGAGATGGGACTTCCTGTGTTTCAACTTGTACCCATTACTGCTTGTCCTGTCACTTGCAAAAGCAAATACTCCAACAAAATTTTAATCCCCTATCCAAGCATATAGATACCAGTTTAGGTGTATTTTTGAAAGGTCATGCCCCTTTCCCCCTCAATCAAATCTTTAAGGTTTTAGGATCATAGGGGAATTCTACCCTTTAGCCTCATTTTGGAAAGATTATAGAAAATTATCAGAAATATATACTGGGGATGGAAATTCCAGATGGAAGTGGAAGAAATTATAAAAGCAGTTCTTATAGTGTGAAAAATCAGGCAAACTTCTGCACTAATATTTGCCTGTAATTAATTTTTTTAAAACAACCAATAATAAATTCTACTTCAATTACTGTATGTATACACTTTCATTCTGAAAAGAATAAAAATTTTGAAAAATGATTCACAACAGCATTTACTTAAGAGCAACAAAATTAGTTTACTGCATGATTACATGTAGAGATAAACACAAAGTATCTGTTACACTGGGTTAATTCCAGTTTGGTATTTTATATATTAGTGTTTTCACAAGGACCAACATTGCCATGGCCAGGCCCTGGAGGTGCTCTATAAGAAGCAGGTGTTGTTTTTGTTGTTACTTTTTTTACTGTCAATCACTAAGAGGTAAATATGAAATTACTCAGTAATCGGGATGGACAATACAAAAAATATGGTGAAAGAAAAGCACATAAAAGTAAATAATTTCAACCTTATGGAAAATCATGACATAACAATAACCTAAATTAACTGACAATATCATCTCTATTTCTAAAGAAAAAATTTTAGCAGTGAAATTAATTAACCTGCTTTCCTAGGAAAGAAGAGCTTGTGGAGGCACGGGAAAAGGTTGATTTACTGTGGACATAGTGTGTCTTTTCCCATATATGCTTCACTAATACACTGCTGGTGGAGTGAGGGATCGAAAAAGACCATGTGGTGATGAAATGCAACCTCTGATGTTTGTGCATTAAGTGATTTAAGGAAAGTGTGCCTCTGAATTATAACAAGCTTTTCTGTCCTTTGCMGAAGGTATTGGTGACTTCAGACTGATTTTACAAATAGATTCCGGTCCCTTCAGAACTATTACATTTACAATGCATCACATATAGCTATCTCTCCTATCCCCATCAACTTGCTACTAGGGCCACAGTTATAATGCAAATATTACACATCATAGAATAAAGCTGTCTGTGTTTTAGTGTACAGATAAATTATCAGATTATAAAGACAAATAYAATATATCTCCATAATTTAATTTACTATAGCAGGAAGTTAAGATACTTGAGATAGCTAAGTAGTTAAATAGAGTTGGACTATAAAAATCCACAATGTACTCAAATAAGCTGACAGAATTAGCAAGTTAAATAGCATATTTACATTTGACACAGGCCCATCTAMCATGATACCTAGAGGCATAGCTAGAGATGCACCTGAGCTAACTTTAAACTAAGTAGCAGGGGTACAAAGAGCAATGTAGCAGCAGTGGCTCAAGATAAAATTGTGAAAAATTTGTTTAGCTACATGGGTTTATGGAAGCCTATGGTGAAGTCAATGCTACGAGTAGCAGTCAAACCTAGATTCAGTTCAGATGAGTGTAAAACAGTCTGACTGCTGCTGTTAAATCTATTTTTAAATGGTATATACATAAGTATTGAGCATTTGTCTGGCTTTTCCATAGACATTTACATTTAGTGTTGAAGGGCTAAATCCATCCCAGGCTTAGGCACTGCAGTGAGAAGCTTCTGCATATTGGGGCAGGTCTGGGCAAGCACAGGCACAAGCCTCTCCCTCTTCACAGGTGATCAAGGCTCTTTGTAATAAGTTTAGGGGTTTAATAAGTTTACAAATTCCACAATTTGTAAACTGCTTTCATTTCCTTAGATGATTTATTTATTTATTTATTTGTGTGTGTGTGTTTGTATATGTGTATGTGGTATGTATTCATGTAGGATCCTACTTGATCCTTCAAGTAGAATCAAGGCACAGTCATCTCAGGCTACTTTAATAACAGCATCCATACAGAGGTTTAATGCTGTCTAACTAATGCACTTTAACTTCATTTCATTAATTTATTTATCTTGCCTTTCCTGAGTGTTCCTCTGCAGACAAGCACTTAGTCAGAGCAAGCAGTCTCTGCTCCCTGCATATTGCACTCATCACCTATCTTTATACAAAGCAGCAGACTAAGACTTACCCAGCTGGAAACTATTTTTACTTCTCTTAGGTATGGAGCTGGTGCCTCCTTATTACAGCTCTTCTTTTTGCACTTACTTTTTTTTGGGCAGGGAAACATTATCCGATATTCTCTCAACCCCTCTACTAAGAAAACTAAATTTGGTTTCCCCTCCACAATTTCTTCCATTTGATGCAAATCATATCCGCTATTAGATGACTGAAATTTGGGAAAAGGTCCCAAAATAAGCCATATTTCTTGTTTTTAATTTTTGAAGTGGATAGCAATCCTTATATGATTAAGGTTGGACTATATGCTTAAATTACCTTAAAATTTCCCATCATAAGTTCCTATTTTAGATTATTTATAAATTTACCACACTCCAGTCATTCAGGATGAAATTTTTCATGCTTGGCTCTTTGCCTCAGGCTGAATTTTCATTCAAAGTCACATTAAAATGTTTCAGCAATTTCCAAAATCTAGGTTAGTGAAAATTAGGTTGGGATATATTTTACAATGCTAATAACAGTTCATTCTGAGCTTACACTTCTTAGTATTTGCAAGGAAGTCCAAGCAAATTCAGTGAACTTGTGGAAAAATCTGAACTTACAGAATTATTATAAAGTGGTTTTAATTATTCTGCTTATTTTTCTGGGTGCATCAGGCATCTAATTTAAGAGAGAGAGAGAGAGAGGTGATCTTTTAATTACAGAATGTTTCATAAAACATATAAAATGGTTGAATTAGCAGTTTTAATACTAGCATTTTTCAGATGAAGTATATTTGACTTAGCAGCCTTAAAACCATTTATGCTTTCTCTTTGTTTTATATATGCAGAAATATTGCATTTACTCTGGTTTATTTTCAAGAAACATGACAATACAACTTGACTTATTTCTGAAACTTAATCCTTGTGCCCTCCCTACCCATCCTGTTAAACACTAAGAAAAGGGGATATATTAAGCCCTCTAGAAGGAAAAAGATATCCAGGCAACTTGACCTTGGAAAGACCTCTAAAAAGTAAAATATTTTATATGTCAGAATTTAGAGGAATCTACACAAAAATGAATATGAAAATATTTTAGAGGTAAAAAAGGCAAATAGTTTATAAAAGAAAAATCATATTTACATTTGTCAAATCATAAGCTTCAGTAGACATTGAGTCTGCTGAGAGTGCAGCTCTCCCTGCACTGTGATTCAAGAGACAAAAATGGCCAGGCATCACAGTGCGGGAATGCGAACCCTGTAATTTTGGCAGCACCTGCCCTTCCCAGATAAGYTGTACCCAAAAGCCACAGCTCTGACCACATCCATATGAGGTAGTGGTAAGTGCCACAGTCTGAGAACAGCATCCACGGAGGCTACGGGGACATCAGCATGCAGGATAGGGTTCTTGCATTAATTAGAGACACCTTCAGCTTATCATTGGGAAGAGAAAAATATGTTACGGTTATGCCAGCCTCCTGCCTGCTTATCCGCATTCCAGACTCTCTACTCAGATATATCAGGCTGCTTTTGCTTCTCAGGAAGGAGTTAGATGATTTCTTCTCCATTTTTTTACATTGAGGTCCACAGAAATATTAATATTTCTCTGTATTTGAGTCCCTTTATACCATTTTGACAATGGAAAGGAGCTTCGTTATACTTATGTCCACTTTAAGATCCACTGGTACTCAGAGCAGCTCATGTTTTTCAAGGCTCATTTTGATTTCTTTCAAAGCATGAAACAGGAAGATGCTAAGGGAAAGCGAGGAATGAAAAAATAGGTTTGGAAGGATGATGTGTATCCCTCATAGAAGTTTGATGCATATTACCTAAGAACAAGCTTTTCTCTTGCCATTTTGTTCAGCATGGTTCAGCTGTAGTTTTTAGCATAGAGACTGCAAGGACTCCTGTCAGATATATGGAAGCTTGGACATTGCAGGTGTTGACCATCAAATCTACCGTCTGCAAAACAATGCTGCTGCCCTATCCCAAAGTGGCACTACACTAGCTAGAAATGTTTTGCACTGTGCATGCACTTCGCTAAGCAAGAGCTGTCCTGTAACAATGTGCTAATGTTTCATCCACTTTATCAGGAAAAAAAGTATTAATGTCTTGACTTCTACAGGATATAGAGACCCAGGGGACTGCTTTGCCCTGGTAAGCTGCAAGAGGTCCTAAAACAATTACATGAGTTACGGAGTTTGTAATTCATGCAATACTTTGGCTGTTTTGTTTTGCACAGCTTGTTTATCTCAGTGTAAATTGGCTGTCCATATTCCTTAAGGGCTTTGAAAAATCTCACCTCAATATCTTTCCATTGTATTATTAATTGATAGTAACAATAATTTACATGTTATGGCTGAAAGTGTATTTCGATAATGCAGTCACATGTAAAGGCATAATGGATTTGCTGAATGTTTGCAATTATTTTTCCTAGAGAAACATGACCTTATTATTTAATGAGGAAATATTTAATCATCAAAAATATACCTCTGTGAAATGAATGTATGCAGAAATATGTCTGTGACTGTGTATAGAAGTCACAGTTATCTTCTAGTCTGAGGGTTTTTTTTTCCTGTGAATGATTTGTTGATAGAAACTTGAATAACACAAACAAAAATATTKTCCTTGAAATTACAAGACTACAAAAAATCTTTTATGGATAGAACTGGTGGTAGCAGAGGTTAATAATGAATGTTTTTGTTTATCTAAACCCTTATAGTGCAGAATGCAATGGTGTCCAGAAACAAGATTGAGATGTTTGACAGGAAGCAGAGCCTTTAATGATACAAGTTCACTTGCTTCTAGCAAGACATAGAGTGGACTTTCTTTTGAATATGTATTCTTCCTGATGTTATGCTCTTATTAAAAGGGATATATTCTTACCTGTCTTCAGCCTCATGGCTGAAGTAATATCTAAAAATAATTATAAAAGAGGCAAGATGCTAGCCATTTTCTGTTAAGAATAGTAAGCAGTGCTGTCAAGGACTGCAAATAATTTCCTCCACTGGAAATCCTAGACCCAAGTTGTTTACGTAACAGGTCCAAAACTGATCCTGCTGATTAAAATTAGCATTGCTGAATAGTCACTTATGTTGGGAAAACATGGCCCAACATCTGAAGAGTTATACTAGCAAAAAAATATTTTTTCTGGACTTGGAATTGAAAATTGATATTAAGAAAGGTGATGTACAATCTAAAATTTGTCATTCAGAGTTGAAACACACTACTTAGTTTTACAAATATTCTTCCTATATCACTTTGGTAAATTARTAAGTATGTATAATGCCTGGAGATTACTGGAGGTTTATTGTTTTGTTTTGTTTTTATTTCTAGTAATTCATGGTGACAAAGCAGAAAAGCAAGAGAAAACTGAAAGGAAGGAACCCATAAAGGGTAAATATTCAATGTTCTTTGTCTTTTTACCAATCATTCAAAACAGTCTGATCTATTGACTCTTGAACCACTTTGTAAATTGTAATTATGTTAATGGATGGAGGAGGTATTCTGAAAGACATCTGGAAGGAGAATGAATGTTCCTCAAGCACTTTGAATGTATCACAGTGGAAAAAGACTAACATTATGTTCATAGATTAATGAATACATTTTTACTGTGTTATTAACTTATGTAAAAGATGCCCATGCATAAATAGGTGCCTTTTTTATTTCTCCTGAATAAATCCAAATATAATGTCTCTGAGCATACTTGTGTGCAAAATGTAATGAGTAAATTATAGCATACAGGGCATGACCCCTGGAGGCTTCCTACTTCAGAGACATATCTTTTAAAGAATTTTTCCCCCAGTCTCTTTCTGGGAATGTGAGGGAATGTAAGAGGAAAATTTGCTGATTTGCTGTTGGTGAGTGCCTACAGCAAGTTACAGAGCCATCTATTTTGGGAAGCATAAATGGGATGGTGCTTCCTCCCCATCAGCATCTCACATGTCAGTTCTCTACTCTCAGAGCCACCATCTAGTTTGCCCATTGTTAGGGACCTTTTGACAATGTGAAATTTTGCTGAAACATTCTGATGTGTCAATGGCATTAATAAGGGCCCAAGAAACATAAGATACACAATCTAGTCGTGGGTTATTTCTAACCAAGAAGGTAAATCTCTCACAACAAAAATGAACATGCACCTTATTGAAATTTGTGCTTCCCTTGGCCTTTTCGGTGGTATCTGATTGGAGCTTTTCCATTTTAGATAACTAATTCAAAATACACAGAGTGAGCAAGACCAACTTTAGAGGTTAATGATAGGCACATGTGTTCTGGCTTTCATTAGAGTGAATTTTTATTATTAAAAAATAGAATAATTATAAGAAGAAAAAATTATTCCCAACATCTGGAAAAAATGAAAAAAAAAAAGGCAAAGGTTATAATGTCTTAAATGTGTGGTCAACGTGTTGCCAAGACTTCTCCTGTACTTTTGTAGAAAACTTGGGAAATTCTTGCATATGGTTTGGTAAAAGAACAATTTGGTAATGATTTTAAAAGTTTCTTAGGATAGGAAAATCAGATTCCACCAAATTTCACCTATCTCATGAAAAGAATGAGGAGAATTATTATATTGTTTTAATTTATTATAACACCTACCTGAATCCCTTGTTGACTATATCTTCTCCTAACATGAAYGAATGAATTAATTTTGTCTAGTGCGTTACTGTTACAATTACTACTAAAATATTAATAAGGATACCATTTCTCCAAGTTCACTAAAAAAAGTCATTGATTTCATAATGGATATTACATTTTAGAATTATAGCTATAGATACATATCTTTCTAAGGCCATTTCATTGTCTGTGAGCCTTCAAAATTCCACTACATGCCTGTATTTTAAATGCTTACTGTCTCCTCTAAATATGTTCTWTTTTTAATATTGGAATCTGGAGAGATTAAAAAACATCCTATTCTAATTTCTAATCAGCTTCCATTATGAAGCTTAGGAAAATTACCTAATAACACAGAAAGCAATTAGCTGTCCATACAAATGGCTTGGTTATCTATCTCAGGAGCTCACATTCTCATGTATTTCATCTCCCTGTTGCTAAAAATTTATAGGATCCCTCTCTCACATTGTCCCCGCTCTTTTAAAGTCACTTCCAGATAGATAAGGAGTTCATGATACTGTACAAGATCTTTCCTTTTTTCCTGCTGTTTGACACAGGATTTTACTAAACTGAGAGAGCCTCGCCACAGGAGTTAGAAAAAAAAGAAAGCTAGGTTGCAGGTTCGCAGGTTCACAGCTGATTTTTCTGAAGTGCACCAAAATCTACGTTCTTTTTATTTTAAAGGTTTTTTTTTTTTTTTTTATTGTTTTGAAAATTTTTGTTCTAACTCCTAGGTAAGGAAAGAGGCAAAAAAGGTTATGTCAATGTGTGGATGGCTCCACAGAATTTACCTTGTCAAAATGTTAGTTTTTTCTTTGCACACATCAGGCATCTAATTAAAGCTCCAAAATCATTTGCTGGGCACAGGGTTCAGCTAGGGTCCATTACTAGCCATCCACCTCAAGTCAAATGGCAAGGGAGAGAAGTCACTTGTTTGTGAAATGCTCTTACATGCTAGGGCTGATTCCCAACTTGTTGTAAGAGTCTGCCTGCCAGGCAATGGGGCAGCCCAGGTGACGAGCTCCTTCTGTTGAAGGCTGTTGCGTTTGCTCTGAGCTCATAGTCCTTGATCAGCAGGATCTGCTCTGCAGATAGGCATGGCATAATCCAGTGCCTACAGCTTGTTGTTTTGTCTCCCATTGTTTATCTTGGTAGAATTATTTTTGATTCTTCAGCTTCTTGCACTTTTTTTTTTAAAAGAATAGATTTGTGTATAATATGTATATATACATATACATATATATATATGAACATATTTCTTCTCTCGTAGTGACACATAAAGACAAATGGGAAAGACAAGAAAAGCCTGAAAAAAAAGAAAGGCATGCAGGTAATGATTTAATGTCATTCTTTATGTTACATTTTGAGGCAGCTCTGGAACTAACTCACTCGATTCCCMTGCATGTCAACTTATGTATCCTTGAGACTGCAAAAATTGTCATAAAATTTTAGGAGTAAAGTCAGGTGATGTAAGGTTTGTAGAGGTGCAGAGTAGCATTGTGTATTACTTCTACAAGGTTTGGAGGGAAAGGCAGGAGATTTTGTATTTTTTACTATGAAGAAATATTTTAATGACTTAATAGCCATTATTCCTGGGGCATTTCCAATATTCACAGTAAATTTGGTTACTGAGTGAACATTGTCATTCAACTAATATACCCGACTACTAGAAAGAAAGTAAAAAGAGATAAAAAGCGGAGGATGTGGAGGGGAGGGTGAAAGGGGAATTTAAATACATCGGGTGCAGRAATACATAGGTATGAGACAAGGCAGGACTAATTCGTTAAGTATTGCTTGCATTTCACAGGTATCTARCACTGCTTTATATTCAATAATTGTTCCTTTCTTTTGAACCATCAACACAAGGCTTGAGGGTACATAGCAATGTTTATGCACACATTTGTACGTTACTAGTATAACATGCCAGAAGCAAATAGGCAGCTGGGTGTTTTTACATGCTTGGTCCCAGCAAGGTACCTCACTGGACAGAAGTACAAAGTATCATCTCTGCCCACCCATGTACAAGTTAGGGTGTCAACATTAAAAGTGCAAACTGTTAGAAAATCAGAATGCAAGTAAGAAAATACTCCAGACCAAACTACACAGCATGCAGCTGGTATTGCACGACTCACATGTATTCTATTGAGATAAGAATCCTGGTCACAATACCATATTTCAATTTGTTATGTGGAAATTAAAAGCAAACAATAAACCCAAACGGCATTCGTTATAACACCATTGCAATTATACTTGTAATTAATTAGAGTATTTAATCATTCCTATATGGTAAATCTGTTATTTGTTATGGCATTGAGAAAATCCTTTTGAAATAAACCAAAATAATAAACAAGAAAAAACAAGTATACCAATAAGCCAAAGTAAACCAATAAACAAAGCTAATAAACAACATAAATAACCAGGATTCTTCCTGATTAATGTCTTCCATAGCATTACTGTTGTGCAAGAAATACCATTCTCTCTTCAGGAGAAATACCTTGAGATGTTATGTACGTTTTTGAAGTTCTAAACCTATATTCTGATGAGTGGTTTCAATGATTTGTCCAGACACCCTCAGCCCATTCTATGTCTGCCTTGCTGTCTTGCTATGCCAAATGTGGAAATCCTACAATCACTGTTTGCATTGACAGTGGAATCATAAAAACACAGAATCCTTAAGGTTGGAAGGGTCTCTAGAGATCATCTAGTTCAACCCTCCAGCACACACAGAGTCATCAAATGTGTAAATGTAGTAAAACATTCCTTGTTATTTTATTAAGAGTAAATACTCCTCTTCCCCCTCCAAATCTCTCTCACAAACATGCTAATAAATAAAAAGAAAAAAGAATAAAACTAGAAAGCTTTCTTGAAAAAATGAGCAAGAAGCTCTGGTAGGACTGCTATTTAAATTCTCTATATAGGGCTTACAGCATCCTTCCTGTACAGTTATATTTCATGGATCTGCAGATTTTAAAGATATAATGTGCCTTTAAGCATGTCTTCAAATGCTGCTAGCCAAAGAGCTACTAAATTAAATAATTTTAATAAACAGAGCTTACCAAGAAGAAATAAGTCTCCTCAGCAGAGAAGTTAGGAAAAAAAGGATCRTCTTTTAGGACAGTATCATGTATTCAAGCAAACACATTTACAATTGATCTCAATTCCTTTTCCTTTTCATATGTATTATACAYATGCGCGCGCGTGTGTGTGTGTTTGCACATATATACACATATATGTTTATCCACCTTTTTCAATATGAAACAGACTTTTTAGAGCAGGGAGAAAAAAAAAGCAGTCATTCTCTTTTGGGGCAAAGTGAAAGAAAGAGTTGCTTCTACAGTTCATTGCAGGATAGTAATGAAAGTTTTCTAGAAGGATTTGCTTGAGCAAATGCCTCTTCTGAATAACTGAATGTACTTGTGGATAAATTTGGGAAGCTGGRCTTGAGAGCTCCTGTCTCTCCCTGGGACAGCAGACAGCCCAAGATTCAACTCTCTCTGTGAGAGCAAACACATGGAGCAGATAGACACAGGCCTGGCAGTTTACACGGTAGATTTTCTTCCACTGCGTCTTCTTCTGCAATTCAAATGAYTGGTAGGTTATCCAAAAATCCTGGGCACAAGTACACAGGGAGAAACACTAAGTCTGCAAGCAGACTCTCGGATGCAGAAGATGCCTGTTCCTCAAAAACAATTTTGTATGGCCCACCAGGCTCTTGCTTTGGTGGTCGGAAAGGTTTCACTCCTCGAGCAAGGTGTTCTCTTTGTTGCCATATATCAATGATTTCACTTCTCACTTTATATTACTTCATTGCGAGAAGAGCACGTTTTTCAGCTCTTATATTCATCTGGCATAGGAATGATAAGCCAAGGCTTTCTGATGTCAGCATTGCAGCAAGATCTTTGCACTAACAACAAAACGTAACTTTCCAACTGAGTAGAGACCTGAATAAGCCATGTTAGACACAGTTAGACTATAAATATTACAAAAATAAGGGTGCAAAATACAGGGACAATCATAGATGTATAAGACAGATGCCACTAAAGAAAGCTTTCTACTTCTTTGCATTGTGAACCACGTTTCATTATTTTCTTTTCTCTCCTTTTTTCTCATTTAATCCACATCATTTCTCTTTTATAATAATCACAATATTGTTGTCACTTATTTCTAGTTACGCACAAAGAGAAACCTGAAAAGCTAGAAAAACCTGAAAAGAAATCACCTTCTAAAGGTAATGCTGACTATTATTAACTGTTAGATTGTTAGTACTTTTTTRGTTTGGGAGAATGGGGAGATGAGTATTTAAAGTTAACACAAGCTCTTCTTGTGTGTTCTGTATATATTTTAGTCTGCCCCCCTTCATCTTGAGCAGGTCTTAATCAGCTTCTGACTGAAATCTTGCACTGCACATATTTCTTTCTTGGTTCACTTCTTTCGATGAGCAGAGGTAGTTATGAATCTTTTTTTTTTTTTTTTGTGCAGCTAAAGGAATGAGCCTGTAATATGTGCATTCCTTGATTTTTCTCCTCCACAATTAGCTTCAGTAATTTGTCTGCAAAGAATTCTTTCTCTTGAGCATCAATTTTCAGTCTGATGCAGACCTGAATGTGACAGTGTTTACCTTCTCCAAGTCTGTGTTCTCTATCATATCCAAAAATAGATTTTTTTTCTTTTGCCTTTATATTTTATAATAGCATTTTCATTTCAGTGCATGATTTGTACGGTACTTGAAGTAAYCTTTGTTAAGATTTATATATATACTAATTATCACATATACTCTGAAACTGTATCATGTGTGAGGGGTTGGTTTCATTGTTGTCTGATAATTCCATTTTAGCCATGTGTGGACGGGATGTACTTTAAAATCTAGTCAGCTTGCTCTGTCATGCCACCTTTTAAAGACTAACATTTATATGTCTTTTAATTATTAGTGTGTTATTACTTGGCATTTGATTGTTTTTGTGCTACTATGCTGCTGCAGCTTTTTTTTTTTTTTTTTTTTTTTTTTTTTGACAACCAACTATTTCTGTATCAAAGTTAGGTTTTAATCTTTGTCTCTTCTTACTTTTACACAAATACAAGTTAAATCCTGAAAAAAAATGTGATATATCTTAATATCAGTCTGTTCCTGCAGTCAAATTAAACTGCTGCTGGTGAGAAACATGAATTAATTAAGTTGTGCTTGAAGCTGCTCAAATAATATAAATTCAAATGTACAAATCAGACTTTATTAGACTTAACCTTTTTCTAAGGAGAAATGTGAAAATAGAAGGTGAGAGAATAGAAGGAAGGAGAAGAAATAGAATGAAAACTTAAGTAGAAAAGGTAGCCATTGTCCAGTCTCTCTTTCAAATGAGTATTTGTTACATTCTTCTATATTCAGTACATAACTTGAAAGCATATGATTTTTTTTTTCTTTTTTTTTTTAATGTGGACTCATCGTAAAATAAAAGCCCACAGTTTATGCAGTCTTGAAAAACAAATACCTTCAGAGAATCCTGGAGATATTCTTAAGAAGCTACACTATTTATCCATTTATCTTCTGCTAGCTAAGCAAATAATCGCTCAATCCCTTAATGTATTTAATAGCAGCCATGACTTCAGTCACCAGGTAGGAAATTTTATGAAGACTTAATCTTGGCCCTTTGGCCATTTGAGTAGCTAGGGGAATTTGCTGCTTCTATGATGTACAGACCCGGTCTAGAAGTGTTTTGATGCAGTCTCAGTTTCTGTGTGCACAAGCACATTCGTTGCCTTAAGTGCTTCCTTAAGACRTGTTTATGCCCACAGCGTCCTCTGCTATCTAATGCTGGGCCAATCTCCCTTTGGTGTGAGTTCTGCTCCAAACTGGATCAGCCACCAGCAGTGCYCAGGGACCATTGCAACAGCTTGGAGTCCCTGGGAAGTGAGGATACTCAGGTCCAGACGATTTTGGGGAGATAGCCATACTCTAAGACTTGGTGATATTCTCCACAGCCAGGAGATTTTCTCAATACTCAATAAACAGTCCTGGAGTATTTCTTCAGCCCTTGCTAAAGGCTCAAGAGACTTCAGCGATATGAATGCTACTTAAAGATGTCATCTAAGAAACTGCTATCTAAACAAGACTCTTCTAAATATCAGCTACGACTCATATAGGCAGTAATTCCAGACTGGAAATCAGTAAGAGAGAATGCTGTCCTTACATAGTTTTCACTTGAAAGAAATGTAATTAATTTTCAGGGCTGTTTTGTTATAGCATATCCCATGTAGCCATGAACCCACTCCGTCTTGGCTCTGAACTGAGCAATGGGTTTGTGGCTGCATTTGAATGACAATGAGACCAAACTACGAAAACCCTTTTCTTGAAGGCTAATCCAGTCACACAGATTTCTGTTGGCTTGAGCACAAAGAGAACAAGCCCATCTCTGCTCAGAGCCAGAGCAGAACCAGTCTGTGTCCTAGGGAGTATAAACACTCCTCAAAAAGTCTCAGATCTGTGTCACTGCCTTCTCTTCTGGTTAGGTGATTCTCAACAGAGATTATGAAGCCTTTGCTTCTTTGCGTGTCTGTAAATGTGAGAAAAGGAAGCAAAAAAGGAAAGAGGAAACATAAAGAAAGATCAGTCTTCCAATCTTCCAGGGATGCTGTTGTGTTTTAGCAATATTTTCTTACTTTTTTTTTTCTCACCTAATATATAATTCTTCCCATTCTTAGCAGTTCAAAAAGAAAAAGTGGAAAGACATGAAAAAGTTGAAAAGAAAGCTCCTTCCAAAGGTATTTATAAATTTATATTACATTATTTTCCAGTGTTATATTAAAATGCATAAACTTTATTTTATGTGAGAATAGAATRTGTATGAAAAATCAACTATGTGAGTGTAATGATGAAATAAGTATCTTTAGAACATTGAGGAGTTATTTTCACCCCTGAGTCCTTTATAAACTTTGTGAAATTTCAAAGGTTAGAATAAAAATAAACGTGCAAACATCTGTTGCCCTGAAAAAGAAATGCGACTATCTCTAGGTCATCTAACATACGTATTTTCACTGTAAGGAGCTGATGAAACCTTTTAGCCAGCAATGCATTTGGCTGTTTTGAGGCTTTTTGTGGAAGTGGGAATTGCTCATTATAAGAATACCTATAGAAAAGGTTTTAGAAGAGATAGAATAAGTTCAGTTCTTTTACATAAAATCAGTCTAGTCAGACCAGTGGCTTTAAAATATGCAAGTCCAGAGCCTTATAAAAGACATGGGATCTGTAGCACTAAATGGAGTTTTACCTCAAGAATGGAGACATTTAGACCTATGAGGACCAAGAAGAGACTTGTAAACATTAAACAAATTTGTTTAAAGGATATACATGGTTGGCTTAAGGCTACTGTCAGATTTTCCACTAAAGTGAACTACAAACACTCACACAGTCAACAGCTATGTCTCAGGTGAGAAAAAGCAGATGACACCAAAGAGCAGAAGATATAGATCTGGTGTCACCGGCTTCTGTTTAGTTTCATCCACTAACTTTTATGGCCCGATTATTCTGCTCTATAATCTTCTCTCTACTGACCTGAATGGCTCATAATGAACTGACTTGTCTTAGACAAGTCTTTGAAATTGAGGAATTGATGTGGGATAAGACTCAAGGAATCAAGCCCTCCTTGGGTCCAGATCTAGAAACCATATCATAAATGTGACCCTTAGAAGTATTCATGCTTTAATTTGACTATACTTATAGCTTAAAAGAGTTTGGATCTCTTTCTCTGACATTTRAAGTTAATCAAATTTAGCCTGAAAGTGCCATGTCTGCTTTTATAATGGCTAAAATTCATCACTTCTTTTTCTACTATATTGCCATTTGATACATTTATTATTATTTAAATTATCATATTTCTTTGTATCATTCAAATCCTTGGTATAGGTCTGAAGAGAGAATATGCTCATACCTAATATTTTTTTTATTAGATCTAATCAAGGTGTTAATGATGAAGGTATATTCAGTATATCATTATATTCATTACCAATAGCACAAGATATAATAAAGAAAGGGTACTGAGTGTTTGGAGGGAATGGAGGGAAGAACAAATGGCACTGAAAGATTTTCTTTATTACTTGCAGAGGAAAAGAAAGTAAAGACCACCAAAGTGGAAGTAAAAGTTAAAAAGGAAGTGAAGGATGGAAAAGATGAAGCAAAGACGGCTGAGAAACTCAAGCATGCAGAGACTAAAATAACAGAAGTTGGGCTAATAAAGGCCAAACCAAAAGTTAAGGAGGAGAAAGCTCTTCAGACTGTAACTAAATCGGAAAAGAAAGGTAAACAAAACTCGGAGGAAACAGATGAAGATCTTAAAAAGGTAGTAGTAGGACAGAAGCAGAGAGAATGAAATTAAAGCTGACAAGGACCAAAGTCCACCTATGAAAAGTGCAATACAAATAAATTACAGATGACTCTCAGATCACTAAGTGGAATCTATCTCAATAACATAGAATATTCTAACTGTTTTTCATGGCTAAAAATCTATTTTCAGTTTGAATCCTTCTTTTATCAAGGACCAATGTCTCTTCAGATAAGACAGAATATTGATGAATTTTAYAGAATATTAATGCTAATGTTATTTGTGCAAATAAGTACTATCTAATGATCTGTTGGGAAATATGTTTTGTTTCTATGTCTGCATACTTCCTGCTTAACAATAACGAAACTAGCAGTGTATGAAAGGGAATGCGTCATTTGGATTGCATCAAACTGTCACGTTTTGTACGATACAAGGGAAATGTCTGATGCAATTTGATAAGATTAGCTTCCAAATTGCTGCTAAAGGAAAGAAATGTCATTTCCCCCAGAAAAGAAAGAAATCAAACACTGAAACAAGGAATCAACCTCAATGCCAAATGCAGATTGAACTCCACATTCCTGTCTGTAAGAATTGTCCCAGGTTATTCTGCTGTCTAACCGCACAGAATTTTTGATTTCTCTCATTTCCTTGTGGCTATTCCATGGAGTTAGGCACAGTTTTWTATATGAGTGAGGGCAGCAGAATCTGTCTTTCTGTAAGAATTGCCACCCTGCAGGCACAAGATTCTGACGTTAATAGCAGCCGCTCAGTGTTGCGTAGCCCTCCTATCTGATCCTTGCAGCTGAGAGCTGCAGATAAATCGTTACGCCTGAGTATCAAAGCAGCCATCTCTGCTTGGATGTCTGAATCTGCCCAGGCAGGTTCAGTCAGAATTTCATAGTCTGGACCTCTTA